AAAACAGATTTAATCCTCTCTTACTATTCTGCTGCATTGTGGACATTCTGATACATCTAAGCATCTAATGGATCCGAAAGAAAGATGATTTCCACCAACTTTACCTTTAACATCCCCTCGCCACTCGCGATCAGCTGATTCGATATTGAGCGTGAGTGCCCTGGAGCGAGTAGTGCGACCTGTATCGGCTCGATAACTCTTCTGACATAGCACCGGTCGTGGGCGTGGACGTCGACGATCCGACAATCTTAGCATTTTTATCGTGAACTGTGTCTTTAAAACTAGATAACCCGACTATCGTGAGCTGCGCCTCCAGACCGACTGCTACTAATATTGAAGAAGGTATGACGACGTGGGGGGTTTTCTCACGGATTCAATCGCCGCAAAGCACCATCAGTTGGCTATGTAGCTGTTTACATTTACAACAGAAGTGCTTAGTTTTTTAGCTCTTGATGTGCCTGATCTCACAATAAGATGACGAGAGTTGGGCTTTCGCCCTACGTCGACTTGTGTCGTGCACCTACCTGACCAGTTGGGCTGGGCACGCTAAGGAGGGCATCTTATATCCACGACCGCTCATCTACGACGGAGTCATTCAGCGGAATATATAATGTATCAGAATTAGTCTAGATTTGAACGCTGGGACCGCCTTGACAGCATCCGCTCGATATATTTCATTTGATNGTGCGAACTCCTCCCACTATTATAAGCTTGACCATCATAATTTCAGCTGCCCCTAGCCATTTTCTCCGCATTTTATAATAGAACGTTTTTGAACAGAATCCGGAATTTCCTCTCCTAGCCCCTCCCACCTTAGCGCAGACCCCGCCCACTTCAGAGATCGAATCACATCTCTTCTATTAACACGGACAACTTTGTCCTTGCAGTCTAAGACGTTTTTGAATAGCGTGTGAGGGAAGAGCGATTGATCGTCGTCCGAACACAATCTCGATCAGTATAAATATTTGTCATTTAGGCGTTCGTCGTCACCGTACGACGGTTATTAGACGGTTTCGTTCTGAAGACTCCGTGCAGGCGCTTTCTACCGGATCCATCTCATTCACACCAATTGACATCGCTCGACAACGATCCTTGAGCTCGGTGGCAATATACGACGACAAGAACAAGGTGGCTCAACAGAAAAGAAAATCATGCGTTCTGTGGTGGCTATATTTATTACTCACTATGTTTCCCGCCACAATCGCTTTCAGTTCTCATTTTTCATCGATTCCAGTTTTAGACCTCCCGACCGACTCAAACACTTTCTCATCTAAAACGGCCAGCACCAATCGAGACACCGACAAGGTTCTAGTGTCGACTGCCTAATGACGAGCCGACAACACCTTAGTGTACAACATGATAATGGTGCCCTAAACGATCCGCATGCCTTTGAATGGGATCTGCGTTGCGCGCGACTTTTTGACAGAATCCTGTGCAATTTTTTTGTTATCCATTTTGCCTTTATGACTGCCGTCCTTGATTTTTGAAGCTAAGTTGTTTCTTTATATTACTAGGGGTATCCACGCAGTATCCATTTTGGTAGACATATTCTGTTATCACGAGTTTAATTTAGTCCTGTGTTGAGTGAGTATTTCACAACTGATGCTGTTATCTTTGTCTATTGGTTTTCGTCATCACTGATGTCTTCAAATTTCACTATCACTGCGTGTATTAGGAGTGAAATAGATTGGATTTATGGGCATTATGATAATAAAACAGAAAGAAAAACGGGATGTCAATCTAGCTTTGGGATAGAGAAGCTTCTTTGTCCTAAAAAGCAACTAATAAGTTCTGTCAAGAAGCACACTACCGATGCCCGAAAGCTAAGCTTGTGGAAGGTTCTATATGGACACCACTAGTGCAAAAACGAAGACACGACCAATGGACGATGGATGTGTGGGATTGCTAGCACACGAACGAATCCTGTCGTTCGTCTTCGAAAGTAAGCGGGTGCCTGCTTCGATGGAATTTACTTGGCTAGTCCGTCTTGAGTACCGAAATGCATTAGAAACAAGACGATCCAGAAGGAGAAATGCGGAGTCTAGAAATTTCACCATGAAAAAATCTGTTCCTCGGAGGCATTGAGTTATCCATCCAGTGATTGACTGTCCTTTTCATAAAATTAGGTACCGTGAAGGCACTTGAGGCTACTCATCTGGTCGTTGCCCGACTTGAGCGCTAGATTGAGATCCCCATTTTTCATTTCAATCACAATGCCAATATTTCCGCATTTCTTCTTTTCTTGCATCTTTCGATAGTATTTCTAGTGTTGCAAATTATTGTTTACTTCTGAATACTGTACGAATCGAACTGCAAATGAAAAACCTAGAAAAATAGAGGCTGGTTCTGTCAACGCCTTCTATTGAGTTGCTGCAAAAGACCTGAGACTCAAATTAACATGCATTTTCATTCCTTAACATGAACGTTTCGGTCCTCTTGCACTTCACCATCACCCTAGCACAATCTGCGAGATAACATTGGTATTATTAAGATTGTTTCCCGAGTGCTCCTCTTACAAAATAGGTCGCGATCGTCGAGGGATCAACTTTAAGCAATCGTCTCCTACGAATGGCGCCGCGGCTCCAGCGATCGTTCCACTGACCCGAACATTAGCACTGCATTCGGAGAGGACCTCGCCTGCGACCATTAGTCGTCGTTCACTCGCTTGCTGTCGTTCAGGAGGTACGACGCTCGATGATGCTCGTCAGTCAGACGACCAGTTGCTACCGATTATGACCTACGAGCAGGAAATAGCTAGGTTTCTCGAGTGCGGTCAGAGCAACGCTGTTCGAAACCCTCGCGAACAAGCTTACAGGCAAGTTCTTGCTCAATGAATCCCCAACAATCGACCGACAATCTCCGAGACGCGCTTGTCAGAACCAGCCAGTTGCTCCCTCTCGTCCCCAATCACAACGTATCTGCAGAACCTGAAGATGAAAGGGTAGAGCAAGTATAATAGATTCTCCTTGACAGCAACGAGAGTAGACAGCCGTCTTGCAAAGAACAGGATCCGCTTGCGCAGTCTGAGCCACACTAGTATCCGAGGTATTTTTTGTTGCTACTTTTAGAATTCGACGAAATGTTAACAACAAGTTGCTTTCTCAAGAACAAGTCGGTCCTGCACAGTCATCAGTCCATGAAATCGCTCATGCAGTCAAAAAAAAACAGCTGAGAAGTCGTTTTTGCCCTATTCCTGTAGGACAGCGCTTGGTCTCACGTTGCAAGACTTCTGTACAAGATACAGGAACTCGGCTGGAATACCGTTCGCCACTCCCCTAATCCCTTAATGTCAGCCCTACTGATAATCACCTTTTTAGGCACCCAAGCAGTTTCTGATCTATGAGAATTCACGTCTTCCAGTGATCTCCAAAATAGCTGACTTCTTTGAATCACAGCCCTCTTCTTTCTGAGTTAAGGAAATAGCCGAGTTGCCCGCTCGCTGGGTGAACGTCGTGGATAACAATGATGGCTATATACAGGGTGTCCCAAAATTATTGGCGCCAAAATTCAGAAATTTTT